AACTATACCCGGCGAAGAGGAAGTTGCTATACTAGATGCTTATAAACCGTTTACTGAGTTTACTGAAGGATCAAATATCAGCCAGCCTAGTGGTACGTGCCAAACCAGGTAAATATATGACCGAATTTGGTTTTCTTGGCTTGCTTGCTATCTAACTTTTGACGGAAGAATGAGAATCATATCCAAAGGAAAAATAAATATTTGGAAAGATATGGTATGGCATATTATATCATAGATGTTTAGAGTGTAGTATAACTAATAAATCAAGCTAAAGTAGGGTGGGCTTTGGCTGATCCATCCTCAATTATTAGTAGCTGATAATTGAATAGATTAACTTTTATGCTATTCTACTGTTTATGGTTGTTATGACCAAGGATTGAATTACTTACACATATATATTGAAAATGCCATTGACCATATAACTACTAAGCATTCATTTAGATATTCGTATTTCAGGCTGTATTCTAGTCGAACTCTTCTTCACGATATGCACTATAATTGCAATTTGCTTAGTTTTACTTTCACAAACTACTTACTAGTGAGGATGGTTACTAAGGCCTCTCACCACACCATATAAATTGGATTCAGGTTACTTTTCAGAAGATCGCTTATTTTATGGCGATAAATTGGGAGGGCATACATAATATTTAGTATCCGACGGTGGTCCTTTAGTGGCCAGAATCCATAGCCTCATGCAATACGATCACGAATATTAGTTATAACGTCTCTGTATCGATAAGGGATTTCGGGTGTCTCATTAACTTCGACTTTCAGTCTTTCATTATCGAAAACGAGATAAGATGAATACATCTAATGATTCAAGTCTTTCTCAATTTTTTTCGGACCCTGGATATGCGAATTAAAAGGTGCCCTACCCCTAGATCAAAACTAATTTAACATTGCTAAGCTGCAGGATAGACATAAGAAGCTCCTTTCAACTCCAATTTTCTTTCTATATGCAATTTTGTGCCCGTTATTTTATTCGGTACTCTAAGGGCTTGTCGTTAGTAGTAGATATGTAACTGTTATGTCGGCCAAACTAGCATTAGCATTAAATAAGTGTAAATAATTCTCGTTATCTACTATAATCATTGATAAGCTGTGAACCAACTAAGTCAGAAACTTCAAAAGCTATGCCAGGTCTTGATGTTTTCGATCTGAATTTCCCTTTATTCTCATATTTACACCTTAACTACATACCTTTGAACTTAGACATTAGAGCGGATAGCTGATGTAGTTTATCGCTAAGCTGTAGTTATTCGGTTATGCATTTGCTGAAATTCACTTTGAATGCTATAGAATTATTTACTGAAATTTATCATGCCCCTTCAGCATATTCAGCCTCTTTAATTCACTTTACTACTTTTTTAAATTTATAATGATTAATAAATGTACCATAGATTTGAGAGGTCATATACAATATAATGCTGGTTCTAAAATTTTCTTTGAAGCTTTTCACCAAGAGCTCACATTTCGGAATCGATAAGTTTATCTGCAGAATTTATAACATATCAATGGCCTATTTATATTATATTGTAGTCTTGACATTAATTTTTTTTTATTTAGTTCATATTTATCTTATTTTTTCATGGTTTTCAGCACCATTTTTGAAGAAACCTTAATTCCACAGGATAAGGCTCGCTTTTTATCTTGTTCTCCTGACGTCAAATTGCTTCGAAGCCCCTCATCTAGAAAGATCTCATGTCTAGAAGTTGAGGGATTGAAGGAAGAAACTAAGGATGGAATAAAAGACGAAGAAAATCAGGAGGAAGATGAGGGAAATGATAGCTCTCAATCCAATTACGATTTTGAGGAAGACGACAGAAAAAGAGACGCTAACAACTGGGAGAGGTTGGCTTTTGGATCTATCAAGAGCCGGGTTTATCTGGCGTACCTGAAAGCTGCTGGTTATTGGCTCTCATTTGCTGTCATTTTTTCACTGGTATTCATGCAAGGTCAGCGATTTTGTTTCCTACTTTATTTTCTGTATAATTATTTGCTATGTTGTGGTTATGTGAACTTTTGTGTAGTGATTGCATAATTTATTGCTTGGGTGCTTCAAGATTGACCTGGTACGCATTTAAAAATCTTATAGAGGTGAACAATAGATCCAAATCAGCTTACTCTTCTTAATTACATTTTGACATACAGTCCCAATAACATAGTAGGATAGAGTTGCAGGATTATTTCCATCTGAATGACTGGAAAACTTTAGATCCGATGCATTTTTAAGTGAATATTTGGATGGTTAATTGAAGATATGTAGACCAAGATGTTGTGGCCTCTGGTATGGTCGCAGTCTCTTTTCGATTTATAGAAGTGTGTTGACCTCGTTGTCGCAACTTGGTTTTGTTGTCAGGAGGTTTTAGTAGAACGCATTTAGTCCGAAGTCGTCTGCCATAGTAGTTGTCATGATTCCCAGCATCAGATAGTGGACTTGGTACATTCTT